CACACACACACACACACACACACACACACACACACACACGAACGCGTGCGTGCGCACAAGTTGAACCCGCTGTTTCATTTTTTTATTTTTTTTTGATTGATTGATTGATTGATTGCTTGATTGGTGCAATTTGGTGGGGAAGGGGTCGCCCTTCCCCCCCACACATGTACACACACACACAAACACATGAAAAATAATTTATTTATTTTTTTTTATTACGTTTCTTTTGATTAACATACTTGATTTTTGGTTTTCTACGGGGTAGCACCGTGTACACGTACGTGGCCTCTGCATATGTGCATACTTGTATGCACGTACGAGCGTACGTGTCGCGTACATGTACGCGCGTACCCAAATTTGGGGCCCGCGTATGTGGTTGCAGGTGGCCATTTGCCGGGCTTAATTTCACCCATAGGGGTTGGAGGGTGGGCGGGGGGATGGGTTGGGGCCAAAGCAGGGTTAAGGGGTAGTGTCGGGGGGAAGGTAGACCTTCGAAATCGTGGCGGGAAGGTCTTACCCCCCCCCGCTCGTTACCCCCCGGGCCCGCTCTCTGTGTGTGTGTGTGTGTGTGTGTGTGTGTGTGTGTATGTATGTGTGTGTGTGTGTGTGATCGTCGTTGTCTTCCACCTCCATATCCTCCACCACCTTCCCTCCTCCATCGTCTCCACCTTCCTGTCGTCATTCCTTCCCATCGTCGCCCTTCTCCATCTGCCCCACCTTCCTTTGCCATCTTCCACCTGCTCCTCCCCACAGTCATCTTCCCGCCCAGTCATCGTCCCGTCATCATCGTCGTCTTCCACCTCCATATCCTCCACCACCTTCCCTCCTCCATCGTCTCCACCTTCTCGTCGTCTTTCCTCCCCATCGTCGCCCTCCACCATCAGCCCCACCTTCCCGTCGCCATCTTTCACCCGCTCCTCCCCGCAGTCATCTTCTCTCGCAGTCATCGTCTCGTCATCGTCTTCGTCTTCCACCTCCATATCCTCCACCACCTCCCCTCCTCCATCGTCTCCACCTTCCCGTCGTCTTTCCTTCCCATCGTCGCTCTCCTCCATCTGCTCCACCTTCCCGTCGCCATCTTCCACCCGCTCTTCCCCGAAGTCATCTTCTCCCGCCATCTCCTTGTCCTCCACATCGTCTTCCTCCTCCCCCTCCCCCTCCCCTCATTGTCTTCCTCTGCCATCTTGTCCGCCTCCCCGTTGTCTTCCGTAAAGTTATAATAGAAATAGTAGTATATTTTTACTATATTACTGTATATATTATATGTATAATATGGTATATAATGATATATAATATTATTAATATATATTATATTATATTATATTATATTATATTATATATAAAACACGTACGTGTACGAGGGTTTTTGAGCATGTACGTGTACGCGAGAGTACGTACGCGTACGCACCCCGTACGAGTACACGGTGCTACCCAGGTTTTCTATGTTAAAAAAATGAAAAAACACTTCATAATCTAAAAAAATATATATATGGTTGTAGGTATCTTCAAACCCTACAACCCCATATTTTTATTTGTTTTTTTGGTCTTTTTTTTTTTTTTTTAATATATGAAATTCTCGACCGCACCCAACCGCAGGTGCCATGGCCTGCGGTCGGGATTCTGGCCGCACGCCGAGTTTGCCCCCGCGGTCATGACCACGGGGGATTCATAGCTTGGCGACATCTAGTCTTCTTCCTCATTCGAGATATAGGATGTCAGAGATGGTGGAATCTGGACTGATAACTGCAGAGTTGCTTTGTTCTGTACCCCTGGTTTGCCGATGCCAGAACGACGCTGGTAGGAGCTGGGGCGTTGCCCGGTAACCTGCAAATGGCAGGAGTGCGAGGCCTTGTAGAGAGATCTGGGGATTTGCTGAGGGAGGAAGGCAATCCAGTGGCAAAACGGGGGGGAATGCCTAGACAACCTATGGGTCTAGGGATACTTTAGGTGGCGAGTACAGATCAGCTATGGTTGACGATGGTTAGGATGACTCTAAGATGTAATGTCCTGGTATAAGGAGGGCCTATGAAACACACCCGCGGACGTGTCCGCGGGGTCGATCTCGGATGGCGGACGCATAAACGGCCACGTCCGCCCCGCGGACGCGATTTTACCATATTTTTCCTGATTAAAATAATGGGTAAAAAAAAAAAAAAAAAGGTTGTAAAGATTTTATATCCCTACAACCCCCTTTCTGTTTTTTTGGAAACATATATTTGTTTGGAATTAGAAAAAATAAAAAACAGAAAAGGTGGAGAAGAGAAATAAAAAAATAAATTTAAAAACAAGTTTTTTTTTTTTTTTTTATTTTTGGTTGGCAGTTCTTTGTATTCTTCGTTTTGTGTCCTAAGGAAATATTCGAGGAATAGAAAAGTAAAAATAAAAAATAAAATTAAAAAAAATATATATAATATATATATAATATATATATAATATATATATAATATATATATAATATATATATAATATATATATATATATTTTTTCTCGGGCCTTTTAATATGTGTGTATGTGTGTGTGCGTGTGTGTGTGTGTGTGTCTGTGCGTGTGCGCGCGCATGTGTGTGTGTGTGTGTG